CTATAGAGAACAGTGAAAATGTAGGTGTTATATTACTAGTTATTGTTCCCCTTTCGCCGCCATTACATTCCCATCTTTCGATTTCGTGTTAATTTTTGTTTGAACTTTCTTGAGTTTTGAGCAAGTTATCAAGGTATGAAAAAGAGTTGTGGAAGTGAAATTCTTGCGCTTTGACAATAGTGGAGATTGTTTCGTGTGGATAAAAAAAAATTTGGAGCTCTTTCATTTTCCTTTTTTTTTTTTTTTCAGAATTGAATTTATGTTTTCCCTTTTGCATGATTAATGGTAAACTTCTTTATTCAATTGGAGTCACCACAGTTTTTCCAAGTATACCCTCTTCTACTAAGTGATAACTTTTTGGGCCTGTTATTGTATAGGAGTGAAAAAACCTTTAGTCAGTTAATTGATATAGTTTGGTGAAGAAGATCTCCACAAGAATGTACATAGTTTCCATGTTTGAGTGGTCGACTATCAACTCAGACCCAACTGTTAGTTTTAGTCTCAATTGAGGATTTTATTCCCAATTTCTCAACTTGGGGTTCAGTTTGCCTTCCTTTTTTTTTTTTCCCTTTCTAATCAAGTGTTTTATTTTATCTCTTAGTTTGTATTCTTGAATTTGAATTATGTATATTGATCTCAAATGAAGCCTCACAGTTAGTTCTGATTGTGAAACAACAGCAGCAATTAGGCGCCCTCTTGAGAAACAAAATCAAAAGTGGGTAGTACTCTGATTTGAGAAGGAAAAAAAAAAATGAAAGAAAAGAACAAAAGTGAAGTGCCAGTTTGGACTTAAAAATTTGAACCCTGTGAAATGCCATATAGTTTGATTTTTTATTTTATTTTATTTTTATGGTGCGCTCTGTGACCTGCAAATAGTATCGGAAACACCATATAGTTGGATTCTTGTCCTCCGCTAATATCACACTCTTAGAAATAATTTTCCTGTTTGGTCTGTATTTGCAGTTTAAATTCCCATTATTGCATGAATAAGTGGTGAGATTGTGTCCCTGTTGATAATATTTCACAATACGTATTGTAATCCCCTCGGTTGTTTATAATTATCTGTTCTCCTTTTAAATGTTGCGGACTTTCTCTTAGTATGTAATTATTATCTTAACATTTTCAGAGATCTGGGAGCACTGGAAAGATTTGGCACCGAAGGAAGAACTCTGTTGAGATTGATAGCAGTATTTTGGAAAATGAGCTGAACCAAAATGTGGTAGCTGATAATGCCAAAGATGGCAATTTCCTTTCAGTTTCAGATTCAACTAGTTCAGGTTCCATTTCACTTCACGTGCCGAACGCAGCTCAATTTCAGCAGAACACGAGCGAAGAATGGGCAGCTATACGTATCCAAACGGCTTTCAGAGGATTTTTGGTAATTGACTAATTTAGCGCCATGATACTGTAATTAAGTGCATAACTTGCAATGTAGTTCCTATGTTCTTCTCTATTTATTTCCTTCTAGTGAGTTTTGTTGTTGAAGAATCTCTATTTATATGGTCTCTGGTCATTGCTCTGTCTTTATATAACACAGATGTATTGTAGTAATTTATTTATTTTTTTTTTTTTGGGTGTGTGTGTGTGTATTAGGCTAGACGAGCGTTACGTGCTTTAAAAGGATTGGTGCGACTTCAAGCTCTGGTCAGGGGTCATGCTGTAAGAAAGCAAGCTGCTATTACACTCCGTTGTATGCAAGCTTTGGTAAGAGTTCAGGCTCGTGTCCGAGCTAGGCGTGTTCGTATGGCATTAGAGACTCAAACAGCGGAACAGAAACTTCAGCAACAACTTGAGCACGAGGCTCATGTCAAAGAAATTGAAGTAAAATTTGTACCTTTAATAGAACAAAAGCTTTTATTTAAAAATAATTGTAGAGTGTGTATGTTGCAAACGCATCATAAAAAGTCATTTTAGTTACTTTACTGAATTATTGTCGTGTCTTTGGTTGTGAGCTTGGTGTATTAATGTGTCATGGCACGTGTCATAAATGTGCATTAGGACTGCTCTTTTAACGTGAAGAGCATATGAGTGTGTTACCGAACCCACCTTATTTTTTACTGATGCTGTTAACCAGGATGGATGGTGTGACAGTGCCGGGTCTGTTGAAGAAATTCAGGCGAAATTGTTGAAAAGGAAGGAGGCAGCGGCTAAGCGTGAAAGAGCAATGGCATATGCTTTAGCTAACCAGGTGAAACGCTCTTGTGACCTCATTTTTACATAATGTTACAATTCTACATTATTTTTTATGGTAACAAAGTATATATCAAAGGGTAATAATCCAGAAATCAACTGGAAATGGTGATAAATCATTAAAGATTCTACTATAAATTTGTTTATCTTAAAACTTTATGATTTCCATGGTGGAGGAATAGAAAAGGAACTAAAAAATAAAAATTATTAGTAATAAGACATCATTTGATTTAGCTTGCTACTCCCACTTAGCTGGCCCAGAATTCCTCTTTATCCAAGAGGAATTCGTCATTTATTTTTTCTGGATCTGGTAAATAGTTGAATTCAAGATTTAATTTCATAAGTAATGAGAATCACCCACAAAATCCATTAATATTTATTAAACTTATGTTTCTGAATATATTTTCTTTCCTTCATTTAAACTCTAGTAAACGAGTTTCAAAGGGTCCATGCTTAATCAAGATGTTAATCTCTGACATTTATATCATGGCACAATACCTTTTGGGGACAAGAGAGATAAATCAGACAAGCTTATATGAAAAGACAAGTTAGTTATTGTTTTTATTTACATTTTATTTAATTCAATCTTGCACTTATAATGCAGTGGCAGGCGGGGTCAAGGCAGCACACCACACCTGCTGGTTTTGAACCCGATAAAAGCAGCTGGGGTTGGAACTGGTTAGAAAGGTGGATGGCTGTCCGGCCCTGGGAAAATCGCTTTTTAGACACCAACCTTAATGATGGTGTGAAAATTCATGAGAATCAACTGGCTGATGTGAAGAATGCACCGACAACTATGCCCAATTCAACAGGAAAGAGACCCACGTCAAATATTGTAAATGGGAAAGCTCCTCGTTCATGCAATAACTCTAATGAGAAAAAGGCTGCATCCCATTCGGATGGCTGTTCTTCACCACCCAACAAGTCGGCCAATGTACAGGAGACACCTGGGACATTGTCTAAAACAGTTCTTGAAGACTTCGCTGAGGAAGCGACCTCAAGGCCCAATGTTGTCACGAGATCACATAGTAATCCTAAAGAGAGGTCGGCCCTAATGAATAAATCGGGGAAGAAGCGATTGTCTCTATCAGGCAGTGGTCAGTCTCTTTCTCCATTCCCCCACCCCCCATTACGACTAACACTGTTGTGGGCTTGCTAGAATATTTAGGGCTAACCCCAAATTATCCTTGACGTTTGCCCAGAAGTATGATAAACCAAATTATCTTAAAAAATAGAGAGATCCTCTAAATGGAATGTGGATTCCCTGCTGATGTTGCAATTTATGAGAAAGAAATAACTATGAAGGAATAACTTCAGTTTTCTTAAGTCAGCTTATTTCTTTTATTTTGAGAACAAAGAAAATAACTTTTCATAATAGGCATCGTATTTATCATAAAGAGACGATGCTCACATTCTAGCTACCTCAACTGTGTTTTATGCATGAGCTCTGATTCTTTAAACCCACGTTTTTGGTTTTAACTTCTAAATTCGTAGTTCAACTGTATATGCTTAAGTAATAATTAATGATACGCACATGACACAGCTGTGCATCTTGGTATGTGTCTTCAATTGATTGTGATTATAATATTTCAAAGTGAATCTGTTTCGTGGGACTACATTGTGGTGCAAACATATCGTAATCATACTATATCTCTACAATCTGATTTGCCAGGACAAAGTCATGGGGCTCAAACAGCCAGGCCAAAGCCTACCGTCAAAAGATCACCCACTGCTCTGAAACCAGAGAAAGACAAAGCACAACCGAACGGGTCTAATGCAAAGCCTTTAAGTAGCAGCCCGAGAACTGTTCTTTAGCTTCTCAACAATGGCGTTTTAAGGTCTCCCTTGTTATATTCCAAAAACCGGCTACTTTTAGTTTGTACATAAAAGGCAGAAGCACGTGCTCGTGAGCACATGGCCATCCGTGTGAGTTTCTCATGATTTAAGAGACAGGCTCATTGGCAGAAGAATGATTGAGTAAGGTCTCTCGGGCTTTTTGGTGGTGAGCATTCTATTGTAGTTAATCTATTTGTATTATCAAAAATGGCTTCCAGGTTTTGAGTGGCCCAGCATGTATTATAGGACTCCAGATTATGTTTATTTTAACGTATGATGATTGTTGTTGTTTGTTCGATAAGCTGTGTAGTAGAGTATTGCCTTTGTCTTGAAGTTGTTATATATGTCGTGTAAGCTGTCGAGGAACATCGTTAATTATAGTTGGATTCTCTTTTAGTAAGACTTGGTGAATGTATGTTTTTGGCCGATTAAGTTTAGTAATATAAATTAATTAATTATTAAACATGTCGTTTCATGAATAAAATAAAAACTAGATGCGTACGTGTCTACTTATGTGGCATAATTTTATTTTTTATCTTTAAAAAATACTAACACATCTCCATGCCTATCTTCTACAATTCAGAAACAAAAAAGTCTATTCAAATTTTTCATAAAAAAACCCCAGATCAACAGTTCTACAGCAATTCAATGCTCCTCTTGGACAAATCGACTATGCCCGTCAATTGCTCGACGAATTTCCCGACCGACGTTTTCCTCTTGGACAAATTGAAGTTTTCTTGACTCACGATATGTCGGCCTTAGTTTTTCCACACCAATTCCCCTCTCAAAATTCCCTAAAGAGAAATTCCAGCAGCAAACCTCGGTGGAAGAAGACTGTCAGCCAAGCAACAACCGACGATCGAAGCACCAGTTACCGGCAAGGCGAGTCGTACCCGAGCGACCAAGACCTGTACCTGGCTGAAGCAGATCTCCTCGGCAAAGCAGACCGCCGGCGACCGAGAGCAGACCAACCACGACTGAGACGAGCATACAAGGTTTCCGAGCGTACTCTGGAGCGAGCAGCTTCCAGCACCGAGCTTTGGCCGGAGAACCGCATCCAAGCACCCAAAGAACTGAGCCCTCTTGTCCAGCGGTTCTCGGCATGTAGTCGGAATGCAACGGGCCCAAGTTATTCCGGTCAGATTCGCCTTCCCACTGGTGCTCATAGATTGTTCGGGCCTACGTGTCTTGGATCAAGCATGGCCTAACGGACGACTTGTTTTCACAAAATAGGCTCATGTGGTTTGATTCCTGAAAGCCATTGAGTTGTTTTTCCTGAAAGCCAATGGTTTGATTCAATTATTTGCCAATGGAAACTCCAGAAATATTTTTAATGATTTGATGATACACTTAGGGATTATGATGAAGTCAAGGAGGCTTTGATATGTCTGGTGCGTAGAGAATGGTTGCGTGTTGTTTTCAACAACTTGAGTGACAAATAGGAATGTGAAGCTTGACCGGATAGCTTTGGTTAATGTTCTCTAGGCGTCTTCTGACATTGATGGCTTAGCTAGGGAAAATACATCCATGGATTTGCTGTGAAAATGAGATTTGAACCCGAGCCAAGACCTGCAAATCGTGCTTACTTCTCTAGATGAGAAATGCGGGCTCGTGGAAGATACAAAGTCCTTGTTCGACCGGGTGAATGAAAAAACGTATTTATTTGGGATGCCATAATCTCGGGCTTTGCCAAAATGGTTGTGTTGAGGATGCCATGGAGCTATTTGCTGAGTTGATATCGGGAACATGTGGCCAGATGGAGGAACCATACAGTCTTGTGACCCAATTTGGGTCACTCGAGTGGGCAAAATGGATGGACGAGTACGTCATCCGTAGTAGGTTCAGATACGATGTGTACATATGCAGCAGGTTGAGCACATGTACACAAGAATGTGAAACATGCATGGCCGACACTCTAAGCTCAGCCTCCAGTTTGTCAAGGTTGAAGGCACTCATGATGACACTCAAGCATGTCTACTCAACCAGAAAACTTTGTTGTCTTATACTCGTCCATTGTTACGGAATACCCTTCATAGGATTGCTCTTTGTTTAGTAAATATTTTTCGGAGCAAGCTAGTTTTGCCGATTAACTATTACCATAGTTGTTTGTTATAGTACATATTGTTATATTAGATGGGAGAATTTACATTGTCATAAATTTTGCACTGTAAACTGAAAATTAATTTCACATAACAATTTGGGGCTTTACAAACAGAAATAAATTGAACTGTAAACTGATTAAAAGAGCTAAAACCAAATAATACCACATAATAAAAAATAGTCCATAATTTGGCTAGATATAATTTCAAATGGAAAAAATAATGAAGCCCGAGTAAAAAAGAGTCGAAAAGAACTAAAAGGGGGACAATGTCTGGTTTCTATCTTGAGCATATTTTTAGATTACTGTGAGTATTTTTTCAACGGAACTTTGGAGGCAGAGAAAATACACCATTTGCATTCACCAATTGAAGAAATTCTTTTACATATCTGGCAAACAATGTAACATTATATCAGAGATACTAATTACTATGTGAGTCATTGACAATGTGCAGAACACAAAACAATTTTTCAGAGCTCTCAAAAGCAATGGTAAACATTCACCTGCAATGACTTTAATGGCCACAATTTGTCTCATCCGAAAACAAAGAAGATAAATAATTGCCTACACAAAGAAAAGCAACCGTTCAGAAAAGTGCTAATGGCAGAACACAAATACACAAACACAACACTCATTCCCAATCACATAACATTACCATATGCAACTAATAAATTAAATAAAATATAAAAATTTAAAATGAAAAATATAAAATTAAAACAATAAATAATCCAGATCAAAGACCTCGCAGTCCAAGGCGTAGAAATCAAATTGTATATTAAAAATCATACCACCTTAGAGGTCTGTCGAAATATTATTGTCCAAGACTGACAATTCAGGACATTTGCATCTATCATGGCCTGTTCGATGATAGAAACTACATGTTCGGGAACTCTGCAATATAAATTTTTCTTTTCTTGATTTTAGATATTTTCCGCAACCTCTTGTAGGTAAAGGCTCGGAGTTGCTTACTCGAATAATCTCATCCCGATTTTTACGAAGTGCTTGTTGTGCATTCTTCTGCATCAATTCCACCTATCTCAATCTTCAAAACATTGATTTTTTCTATAAGAAATTTGCTTCTGGCTCTGTCAAAGATGCTTTATCTATGAGCTCTCGTGCTAAATGCATCAATGTCCCATGTCTACCTAGGGTAGACTGACCTGCTACAAGATTATGTGACGTTGCATAAACAAGGTTGTTCTTTGCATTCTTCGTCCATCTTTCTTTAATGACCCTTTTCGGTATGAGCATCACTTGTTCGACTCTCATCCAACATAGCATGTGTCGACAAAGATATCCTTCAAACTCAAAGTGTTTACAACTACAAGTTAAAAGATTCTCTGCCACATGATATGTTAAATGTCATCGACGTTGATTGTCTCTTCCATGTCAAACCGCCAAACCTCATAAATGTGACTTTCGCTGGTGCTCGTCATCGTTTTGCATATGCAGCTAGAACTCTTCTCAAATTCAGCCTGGAACAATAAAAATATGGTTTTCGTGTAAATGTCGGACATTTGCTTTTCAATTGCAAATGTAGTGTTAATCCTTGGTTTCTCATGAAAATCGACGTGGCCAGCCATGAACTCTTCATGTCGTTGGTGTGCAATAGCCCTGCTAAAAGTGTAAAAAAGTCATTCAATGAGCATTTCTTGTCGAGGTACTTCTTGAAGATTGCATGATTACTCTCAACACCTTGGCTACTTGACATACCGGTAGAAAAGACATGTTTTATATAAGTCGGAACCTAACGATGTCGAATTTCATACATTATGAATAACCAATCACTAACACTCAACTGAGAACCATTCATCAACGAATTCCACCTATACTCAAACTCGGTTGGACTCTCTGAATCATTAATAATTGTTAATAAATGATGGTGGTGCAGTTTATGAACAATAGGACTGAGTTTCTCCAAGAACTTGTTTAGTATATGCCAAATACAGTACCTATGAATAGTATTTGGAAATACCTCACTCACAACAAGAGATATAGCAGCGTCTTGATCAGTTATAATGATATTTAGATGAGGTTGGTTTGAAATTGCTTCTAGAAATTATGAATAACCACACAAAAGACTCGCTCTTCTCATCACTACGCAAGCCGACCCCAAATGTTGGTGTCTGCCTATGATGATTCACACCAACAAAGGGTGCAAACACCATTCCATACTTGTTTGTGTTACATGTAGTATCAAAGAAAACTATATCACCAAATAATGCATATTCGCAATCAACCCAAAAGCACCTCATGAGACCCTCACCATCTGTCTCATAAACATAAAAAAATATTCTCATTCCTTTCCTTTTCCATTTCAAATTGTTGAATCATTGTGTGCGCATCATGTTTATTCAATTCAGCCCTATTTGCAGCTTCTTCATTCCTGATATCCTTCTCCAAACATCCCATCATGGACGGACCCTCCAGCATCAATCTCAAACAACCTAATTTGCTGGCAGTCAGAATGTTGGCCTCTCTATACTCTTGCATTAGTGCTCTTTCGTAGCCGACGCACCGCGATGGATCTGAGTAAATGAACCTTCTCAGGGAGTAACCAATGGATGATTATGTTGTTCTATAAATCACTTCACAGTCCAAATTTCTTTGATTCTGCAAACACTCATCCGAGCTGGAAAACCACATCTCGTCTCTCCCCTTTTCCTTTCCCCTGTTCAAACCACGACATTTTTGCGTTTATTTCTATAGAATTCATTTGTTTTTCCTTCCTTCGAGCAAGGGAACATCTTCCGCACAAACATATTGGTTTGTTTATTATTTTGAGTACAAGTGCTAAAGTCTGTTTCTTTCGCATATGAATTGTAGAAATCACGAGCCTCTTCCCACATCTGAAATTCCAAACCTTCATGGGGTACCTTGT